CTGTACATCATTCAGCAATCAAGTGTTTTGTGACAAACGCAACAAGGTTTTTGAAGCAAGGCTGAATGGGCGGGATGCTTTCAAATTGCTATGGCACACAATCTCTTCATTGTGTGTGTGTGTGCGCGCGCGCACACGTGTGTGTGTGTGTGTGTGTGTGTGTGCGTGTGTGTGTGTGTGTGTGTGTGTGTGTGTGTGTGTGTGTAGGAAGCAATCCAGGTTATTATTTTGTATATATATTTTTCTCCCCCTTGTAGGAAAAAAGCAAGGAAGCCATGGAGAGGTAAAATTCTGTACTCCAAATCCTGCATTTTGTATTTGAATACTAAGCCAGTTTTGGAGGGATGGTGGAAATACGTTCTGCAAAGCAAAAATGATTGTCTCTCATTTATGCCTCACTATTCTTGGTTGAGTATTTATTTCTTTAAGAGGCTTGCATCTCCCTTTCCTCATTTTGAGTGAAATAAAGGTGCAAAAGAGGCACGGTCAGCCATTTTTAGAACAGCTCTCCCCTCAAAGTTGTGCAAGAAATTGGCCAGTGTTTCTAGGAGCATGAATTCAATGAGCGTTCTGGGTTGGTACTGAGATGGAGACTGCTACAAAATACAAGGACTTCCGTTCCCTCTTTTTTCCTTCCTTCCTTTCTTTTAAGTAGGCTAGATGGGGTAATCAACAAAAGGATGGGATATGATAGGTCTCTGAAGTTAGCAGAAGTTAAAAGAAAAAAGCTACTTTACAAGAGTTAAAGACTATCACTTAATCCTTCCAACCTATCACTGTCCAGATGTTTGAGAACTGCAGCTCAAAGAATGGAGGATCATCTACCAGCCGGCTGAGACATCTGGGGATTGTAGTGCCCACATATTTCAAGGAAGGCAGGTTTGTTGTTGTTGTTAATTGCGAAGTCGTGTCCGACCCATCGCGACCCCATGGACAACGTTCCTCCAGATCTTCCTGTCCTCTACCATCTTCTGGAGTCCATTTAAATTCACACCTACTGCTTCAGTGACTCCATCCAGCCATCTCATTCTCTGTCGTCCCCTTCTTCTATTGCCCTCAATCTTTCCCAGCATTAGGCCCTTCTCCAGTGAGTCCTTCTTCTCATTAGGTGGCCAAAGTATTTGAGTTTCAACTTCAGGATCTGGCCTTCTAAAGAGCAGTCAGGGTTGATCTCCTCTAGGACTGACCAGTTTGAACGCCTTGCAGTCCAAGGGACTCGCAGGAGTCTTCTCCAGCACCATAGTTCAGAGGCCTCAATTCTTTGGCGCTCAGCCTTTCTTATGGTCCAACTTTCACAGCCATACATTGCAACTGGGGAAACCATGGCCTGGACTATACGCACTTTTGTTGGCAGGGTGATGTCTCCGCTGAAGGCAGGTTGGATGCAAGCAATATTAGCAGAACCTCAAAGACAGGGGCGTAGAACCTACTTTTAAGACTTGTGGACTTTAACTCCCAGAATTCCCCAGCCAGAATTCTGGGAGATGAAGACCACAAGTTTTCAAGATTAGATAAAGTTGGCAAGATGAAAAGGACAGCTCTTAATATAAGTATTGTCCACTAGATGGTGGTAGGAAGACTGCAAAAAAAAAAACCAAAACAAAACCCAAGTCCACCCACACAAGAATTCCTTGGGAAAAAAATAATTTGAAACGCTGCCCAGATTTCTCCAGGCATCCACCTGTAATTCACAATTTCAGCCCAATTGGAAGAGGATCTGATGCCCACGGTTTGCCAGGGCCCACAGAAGGCCTGCCCAGATGGTGCCATGCTACTTGAGAATCCAACATGCTCCAATGACGATTCTTGCACCCGAAACAGACCCTGGTTCCTGCCTGCCAGGATTTGTGCTTTAGGCGCACGCAATCCAAAGTAGGGTGTAATGTGAATTTAGTGGGTCTTCAAAAGAAGGGGCGGTTGGGGGCATAGAATGAGAAGCATGGGTCTGTGGGGTTCATCCTAGGTCAGGATTGCAATCCTTTGTACACCCCCTTCTTTTGTCCCAAAGATGCTTTTTCACAAGGCAACTGGCCTTTGTTGTTTTCTTTTGAAAGTTGCCTTGTGAAAAAGCATCTTTGGGACAACGAGGACCTGATGATGACTGAGAACCTCCATAGATCCCCCTTCTTTTGTGACCACACAGTTGGAGAATCGGATCAAAGATTGATGGAAAGATAGATGGATTGATGGATGGTTGGTATTTATGGGCTACCCAACTTCAGTGGATTCTGAGCAGTGGAGAAAGCGAAAAACAAAACAGACGAAGCTAACTAACACGTTCAATGCACGGTTGTTGCGATCCTCTCTCTTTACAAGCACAATTCACAGGCTGCCTGCTTTTCATTTTATCTTGGTTTACAAAGGACAGGGTCATCCCTCATTTTTATCCAGCACGCAACACGCAACCTGGCCACGCAACCCATAGCGTGAAACTCGGCAGAGTCACACTGCAATTTGTGCTCACAAGGAACCAGATTGATTCTGCTTGGGCTGTCAGCACACAGACACACCCAACACCCCAACACACAATGCACGAAACAAACCGATGGAGCCTTGTTGGGGTCGGAATGGAGGACTCTGTCCTTGAATCTTAAATACTGGGGGGGGGGGAGGAAAGGAAAGCTGGAATATGAATGTGCTCTCTGCGGAAATGAAGTTTGAACTCAAAAGTTTTCCCTGTTTTTTTGGCTCATTCTTTAGGTATGTAGGAAGATTTGAACCCAGTCATGTTTGACCCCAGAAGTGGAAATATTGAGCAGATGTTGGAGTGGGGATTTGAAATAGATAAGACTTCAAAAAGCTTCACTGGGAATTGGCCATATAGAATGAATAGGCTGAGTTTGTTAAACCAAGGTTCTCTTTCCTTTCCTTTCCTTCTTTCCTCTCCTCCTCTTCCTCCCTTCCTCTTTCCCCTTCCCTTTTTCCTTTCCTTTCTTCTCTTCCTTTTCCCCTTCTTTCCTTCCTTTCTTCCTTTTTGTCTTTTTCCTTTCCTTTCCTTCTTTCTTCCTTTTTCCTTTCCTTTCTTTCTTTCCTCTCCTCCTCCTCTTTCCCCTTTCCCCTTCCCTTTTTCCTTTCTTCTCTTTTCCTTTCCCCCCTCCTTCCTTCCTTTTTTGTCTTGTTCCTTTCCTTCTTTCCTTTCCTTTTTTCCTTTTTCCTTTCCTTCTTTCCTCTCCTCCTCCTCCCTTTCCCCTTCCCTTTTTCATTTCCTTTCCTCTCTTTTCCTTTTCGCCTCCCTCCCTCCCTTCCCTTCCCTTCCTTCCTTCTCCTTCCCTCCTTCTCCTTCCTTTCCTTTCCTTTTCCTTCTTTACTCCTGAGGATTACCTGGAGAAGTCCCTCCTGTTTTCTCAGCAAGGTTTTTCAGAAGTGCTTTGCCCTTGTCTCCCTCCCAGGGCTGAGACAGAGCGACTGGCCCAAGGTCACCCAGCTGGCTTAGTGTGAGACTAGAACTCACCGTGTGCTTTCTAGCTTGATGCCTCTACACCAAAGTGGGGCTCAAGGCCACATCAACAATTGGGAATACAAACTGTCTACCTAAAAGCACCACAACAATGAACAGCATCATTTAAAGAAGAATAGTGCTTGCGCATCTGAAAATTCCTGTGCCTTTTTGCTACCCTTTGACATGCCGGCACGCACCGTTTTTATTTATCCAATTTCCACCCCAGCCATCTCTCCAAAGTGACTCTTTTGGTGAATTGTTTCGTTTTAGTGAATTCACACAACGCTGCTCCATTCTGGGAAAGAAAATCACTCCTTCTCCTCTCTCTTTCTCTCTCTTTTTCAATCTGAGCAATCCAGGTGGATGGCTTTTGTCGCTCAAAGGAGTGCAAAAAGGCCAAATAGATTTCACAAACTGGTGTGGTGGATGTAGGCCATTTAGGGGAAGCCATCCTGAGCATTATAATGGTGGATTACACCCAATAGTAGCTAACCTGCTAACAAAGTTATAGGAGACCCAGGGAGGGACAAAGGGGAAAGCAGCAACACCTACTCTGTGGTGTCGTGCTGCAAATCCTTGACTTACATGCTTGCATCCAGTGCTAGGACACAACTAGGAAAAGTTGAGCATTGCATTGACTCTTGTTTGATCAACTGTTGTAAGTCGAGGACTACCTGTACTTTATCACTTTTTTCCTTTTTTGGGGAGGGGTCGTCAAGATTTTGACACCTTGCTAGGCGACTGGTGGTACTCGGATGTTGCCGTATCCTAAAAGTGGTACAATGGGTGAGAAGGTTGAAAAGCCCTGACCTAGATAGTCCACCTAGATCAGTGGTTCTCAACCTTTTTAATGCCGCGACCCCCAACCGGTTGTAAGTCGAAGACTACTCAACCGGTCGTAAGTCGAGGACTACTCAACTGGTGCAGCACCGTTTGCAGAATGGGACTTTTGGCGTGCTCAGCAGGGCAGAGACAGCCTGGACAATTCCTATTGGCTTTTGAAAGCCAATAGAATTAGACTCTATTCAAGAGAGTCTATTCTATTGGCTTTCAAAAGCCAATAGAATAAAAGGGAGGAGCACAGCTAAGGAAAAGGGGGAAAAATGGCAGACTGCGTTGTTTGGCGACCCCCCGTGAAATGGTCGTTCGATCCCAAATGGGGTCCCGACCCACAGGTTGAGAACCGCTGACCTAGATAGTCCACCTAGATATGGAATAGGTGAGCTCTAATACCTTGCTCCTTGTGTGTCTGTTTTTTACATTAAGATTGATGGAACACCCATGGCCTTAATTTAGCCAGTGGTGGGTCTGGAAACCCAAATGATTTTATCCAGCTCCAAGTTTTGCTGATGTCAGCTTGATGGTCATGGAGCTGAAAGTTATGAGCTGGAAGTAAGCCTGAGGTCTAGAGATAATGTAGCCATAATAGCCAAGAATGAACTAAATGGGTTCACAATCAAATACTCGTTATCTCTCTGAAAGCTTTAAAGCCAAGCAACTTCGCTCTGTGACGTTGCTAGGAAGCGAGGAGCATTACAAACTGGGAAAAGAAATCACTCACATTATCTCTAGCTGAAGTAAAAGAGGTCTTCTGTTCAGTTTTGGAAGTTGGCCTTGTCCACGGTTCCTTGATAGTCCCAAGCTGTCCCACCAACTCCGTATCCAGGATGGGAAGACCATTTGTGGTTGATGAAGTCAGAAAGACATCTGGCCTCTAGGCAGAACAAAACAAGAAGACATTACGACGGCCAACCGTGAAGAAAATCTTAAAACCCTTGGACATGATTCTAACCGAGGAGGAACTACTAAACGTGCTATATAAAACACACCTACACTATTTGGAGAAATGGCCCACACACCCAAACAAATCATTCAGTCCTAGGTTGCATTAATAGAGGGATAAAATCAAGATCACATGAAGTATTAGTACCGCTTCATAAAGCCTTAGTAAGACCGCACCTGGAATAGCGCATCCAGTTTTGGTCCCCACCATATAAAAAAAGATGTTGAGACTCTTTGTGGGGCTAGAGCAGCGGTTCTCAACCTGTGGGTCGCGACCCCATTTGGGGTCGATCGACCATTTCAAGGGGGTCGCCAAACAACGCGATCCGCCATTTTTTTGTCAGCCGGCGCAGGAGGCGGCGCCGTGCATGTGCGCCGCGCAGGTGGAGGTGCATGGGGGCGGCCCCATGCATGCGCGCCACGCAGGGGGTGCCACCGCACATGTGTGCCATGCAGGGGGCAGCCCCGCGCATGCGCGTCGCCTGCTTATGTCCGGGGTCGCCATATAAAAAGGTTGAGAACCACTGGGCTAGAGGGTAAAACATCTAAAGAATTGTTGCAGGAATTGGGCATGTCCAGTTTAATGGAAATAAGGATGAGGGGTGACATGATAGCAGAGTTCCAATATCTCAGGGGCTGCCACAAAGAAGAAGGGGTCCATCTATTCTCCAAAGCAAGGCAAGACAAGGAACAATGGACGGAAACTAATCAAGGAGAGAAGCAACCTGGAACAAAGGAGGAATTTCCTGACAGTGAGAACAATTAACCAGTGGAACAACCTGCCTCCAGAAGTTGTGGATGCTCCATCACTGGAAGTTTCTAAGAAGAGACTGGACAGCCACTTGTCTGAAATGGGTCTCCTTCTTGAGCAAGGGTTGGACTAGAAGACCTCCAATTCCCTTCCAATTCTGTTATTCTGTTGAATTTGTTGGAAAACTCCAAGTGTAACCAAATGAAGGATTGTGTATTTTGGTCACAGAACTGAGACTTCCCATCCCGTTGAAGGCTCCCCTTAGTTCAATAAACGTGACAAAATAGACTTTGATTTGCATCAGGAGCTCTGCAGGAGAAAGCACTTATTTGCCACCTGAGGGAATAGAAAGACCCTTCTGGATCCATCCTTAGGCGATGTGTTTCATGTTCTTCTTCGCACTTATTTGCACTTAGTTTTGAAAGACAAAAGACTCCTTATCTGGAAGACAACGTAACCAGCAGGCTTTGATCGTTTGTATCTTGGAAGGTTTTACTACTTAAAGTTGCTGGCTTTCTTTTGATCTTATTCCGTATGAACCTCCACGAAGAAATCCTTCTATTCTGCCTCAATCTTCTGCCTGAATGGGTGACCCACGGGGTCTTTTAAAATCGGACGAGAAAAAAAATGACCTCGCCCCCCCTTTCTACACACCATCTTTCAGGGCACAAAGCTCGACCAAGCCTATTTAGCAAAATATCCAGGAGGAGCACCAATACAGATAGTCCTTGATTTACAAGCGTTCATTTAGCCAGTGTTCAGTTACAAAGGCCCTGAAAATAATAATAATAATAATAATAATAATAATAACAACAACAACAACAACAACAACAACTGGAGCACCACTTGAACACAATTGGCATTGACAAATTCGCCTCCTAGTCAATTGCAAAAGGCGGCCTTATTAGGAACTGCTTCCATCCTGCGACGATATCTGTAATACCATCAAACATCCACATCTGCCTATCCCAGGTCCTGGTAAGGACTCGATAGGTAGACAAAATGCCAAATCCAGTCTGAACATCTGGCTGACAGTGCGATGATCGATAATAATAATAATAATAATAATAATAATAATAATAATAATAATAATAATAAAGTTGGAAGGGACCTTGGAGGTCTTCTAGTCCAACCCCCTGCTCAGGCAGGAAACTCTATACCTTTTCAGACAAATGGCTGTCCAGTCTCTTCTTAAAAACTTCCAGTGTTGGAGCATTCACTGCTTCTGGAGGCAGATTGTTCCACTGGTTAATTGTTCTCACTGTCAGGAAGTTTCTCCTTAGTTCCAGGTTGCTTCTCTCCTTGATTAGTTTCCATCTGTTGCTTCTTGTCCTGCCTTTAGGTCAGTGATGGCGAACCTTTTAGAGACTGAGTGCCCAAACTGCAACCCAAAACCCACTTATGTATTGTCGGGTGCCGGGTGGGTGTGGCCCATTGGGTGGGCGTGGCTGGGGTGGTAACGGCAAACTGGGTGGGACTAAAATGTTCAATCAATCAATTCCAACTTTGCAAGATCTTTTTTTTTCCCGCAAGAAGTTGAAATTAACTGATTGAACTTTTTTTTTTTTTTTGCATACGACGGCGGAGGCCTAAAGCGAAAAGGTTTTATAAAACCCAGCGGAAGGCCTAGGACTGGGGCAATGGCACGCACACCCACAGAGAGGACTCTGAGTGCCACCTCTAGCACCCGTGCCATCGGTTCGCCACCACTGCTTTAGGTGCTTTGGAGAATAGCTTGACTCCCTCTTCTTTGGGACAGCCCCTGAGATATTGGAACTCTGCTCTCACGTCCCCCCTCATCCTTCTCTTATAAACTAACTAACTAGCTAGCCAGCTAGCTAACTACCTACCTACTACCTACCTACCAAGGCAGCCACACAACAGTGACTCAATGGTTCCCGAGTTGAGCGTAGCTGTGCAAATCCTGCCATGGAGAGGCATCGAAGGAGCATAACAAAATGACAGATGCTCCTCAGCAAACAGAGGTGGGTGGCTAATTAAGGAGAATTCCATCAAGGGCCAAGGCAACCTCTCCGTGCCCAGCAATGTGATTTCTTCATTTTCTACAACTCTAGGGCTGACTGGTTTAAATTGGCTGCCCCGTGAGCCTGGCAGCAAAGTGGCTACCGCCAATTCCGACACCGTGACTGCAGGCCGTGATGGCTTATTTGAGTCTTAATGGGGAAGAAGGTAGGACGGCTATGCCCATTCTTGGATTCATCTTCTTAAATCCTCCATCTCTCTGGACATGGAGGAGAAGGGCAAGCAGAATAACAGAATAACAAACCGAATAACAGAATACTATGCTTCCATGTTGAAACCACCAAAGCACTTCCGTGGGGAAAGGAGCCGTGGTGGTGTGGTGGTTAAAATTCAGATAAGATAAGATAACCTTTATTGTCATTTTTTTTACTGTGGGCACACTGGCACCCATTAAAAATGAAATTCTGTTGCCTGCTCTCCAAAGTGTACACATACACAACACACATATAAACATGCTATATACAACATATGCATGCATACCTACACCCTTACATATAAATACATATAAATATTAATCACTGTCCATCTTGAATACATAGCAGCTTGCCTTCAGAAATTGCAGGTGCTCCATCACTGGAGGTTTTTAAGAAGAGATTGGACAGTCATTTGTTTGAGATGGCAAAGGTTCTCCTGCTTGAGCGGGGGGCTGGACTAGAAGACCTCCAAGGTCCCTTCCAACTCTATTCTATTCTATTCTATTCTATTCTATTCTATTCTATTCTATTCTATTCTATTCTATTCTATTCTAACTCTACGCTATTCTAACTCTATTCTAATTCTAATTCTAATTCTAATTCTATTCTATTCTATTCTATTCTATTCTATTCTATTCTATTCTATTCTATTCTATTCTAAGAGAGGAAGCTTGAGATTAAGGGTACCATTTGCCCAGTACATCCCCCTCTACATATTTCATTCAGCTGGGGAGCAAAGCTTGACCTCAGCCAACCTTCCTTGGCATCAACTAGCAGGCTTTCGGCTGGCAAGTGTCAATTAAGTCCAGATAGCTCCCCACCCTCAAAAAAGGACTTCCCACAAAAGGCAGACCTCATTGCCAATCCCGCCAAGCCAACCAGCCAGATGGGGCCCAGAATCGACTGAAATTACTACCGCTTTCCCATCTGATCAAAAAAGGGAGCAAGCCTTGGCCAACGAGGCTTGCCACGTCTGTCCCCTAATTCAATTAATTTCCCCCTAAAACTTCCTCTGGGAACAGCTGGCGGAAACCGGCAAATTTTCTCCAACAAAGACATTCATTTTTCTCCCTGCTCTCCACTTCGCCGTGGCCTCGCTGTCTGCCACTCATTAGCTGTCTAACAAAGCGAAGCCGGTGGAGTCAGTAGTAATTCTATCACTGCTCTATAATTTCCACAGCAATCACGACTTCTAACGATGCTGGGAAGGGTTGGGGGGGAATGGGGGCTGCAGGAGGAGGGCTGCTGCTCCGAAGAACAACATTCTACCGAGAAAACAACCTGAGATAGGAGAGCACGCATGGATGTATCTATCTATACAGGCACTCCTTGACTTACGGACCACGAAGAATTTCTGTTGCTAAGCAAGGCGGCTGTTCAGTGACTTGCGCCTGATTCTATGACCGTTTTTGGTCATAAGCAAATCACGGCAGTTGTAAAGAGAATCCTGCGGATGTTAAGTGAATCGGCTGCCAACCTATTGCCTGATGGGGCGGGGGAGGGGCAAAGTGAGAAATGGGCAGGGCTGCTTATAGAGTTCACAGACTCAAAAGTTTATTAAAGTATAGCTATCAGGAGTGAGCTGCAACGTTTTGTGTGACCAACAGAGGGCAGCAAAGCAGTATGGAATAACTGCAGGGTTACTCTTCGCTACCGCCTAGTGGTCATGTGAAGAATGCTCAGGTCTGCTACGGAGGAGGAGGAGGAGGAGGAGGAGGAGGAAGAGGAGGTGGTGGAGGAGAAGAAGGAGAAGAAGGTAGTAGTAGTAGTAGTAGTAGTAGTAGTAGTAGTAGTATTTGGGGGGCTGCAGGCAGCTGGTGGACTGACCACCCCTGGCAGGACATCATCCTACATTATCCTTTAATTTATGTACTCCCCCTTACCCACCCTGCACTTAGCCATCCATCAGCACCTGTCACCGGGGAAAGAGCCCGCAACACATGGCAGCATATTGAATTGCATCGTGATCTGCCAAGATCTCCTTTTGTGTATTTAAAAAAGGAAATGAAAGGAAAAGATGGGCGGGGAAGAGAGGGGGGTAGAATCATGTTAAACCAGTTTAACATGACTGCAAGCATGAAAAAAAGAAATGACAGCTTAAGATCCCTATTTCTTTTAGAATTAATTAACCTCCCATGGATGACTTTAGAAAGCTCCATAGACGTTCCTGAGCCAAGGCTCTCTCTCTCTCTCTCTCTCTCTCTCTCCCTCTCTCTCTCCCACACACCCTCTCCCTCTCTTTTTCTCTCCCTCTCTGCCTCTTTCATTCATTCTGCCTCTCTCTCTTTCTCTCCATCTCCATCTTTCTCTCTCCCTCTGCCTTTCTTTCATTCTGCCTTTCTCTCCGTCTCCCTCTCTCCCTCTCTCTGCCCTTTCTCTTTCTCCCTCCCTCTCTTTCTCTCTCCCTTTCTCTGCCTCTCTCTCTCACCCCCCCCTGTTATGTGTGTATGTGTGTGTATTTATTAACACCAGTGGGGGAGGGACTCCTCAACCGACAGTCCTTCCGAGATCAAAACAATAATCAGCTAAATGAATTCTGCAGCATTTTCCCGCATGACCAGGAGTGATAATTTAGTGCAGCAGCCAGCTGGAAGAAAAGCGGATTAATTCTGCACTTACCGACACCCCTGTGAATAATTCATCACATGAAGCCCCTCTCCCAAGTGCTTCCTCAGACAGTCCAGGCCAAACTGTGTGTGTGTGGGGGTGGGGAGCGCTCTGGATGAAAAGAGCAATGGAATTCACCAGCCAGACCTAAGTCTGGCCCAAGTTAGGAAAGAGGAACGCAAAAGCATCACTGCTTCCTGCAAGTCTTAGTAGATGGATCACCACCAGTATGCACCTGTGGCTCCTCCTTACATCTAATTGGCTGAATCTTCAAAAGTTCTCCTGGTCCACTTGAGGATCTCCAGCAGATAACAATCCTCAGAGCCTGGCTCCAGAACTCAGCTCAGAAACATAACCTTGGAGCAATGACTTGATCCTTCCGTGGTTCCCAGGAGCTTCCATGTCTTTGTGGGCTGGTGTGAAGGGCAGCGTTTCTAGGCAAGATCCACCTCTTTTTATATCAGCGGTTCTCAACCTGTGGGTCGGGACCCCATTTGGGGTCGAACAACCATTTCACGGGGGTCGCCAAACAACGCAATCCACCATTTCTTCCCCTTTTCCTTAGTTGTGCTACTCCCTTTTATTCTATTGGCTTTTGAAAGCCAATAGAATAGACTCTCTTGAATAGAGTCTAATTCTATTGGCTTTCAAAAGCCAATAGGAATTGTCCAGGCTGTCTCTGCCCTGCTGAGCCCGCCAAAAGTCCCATTCTGCAAATGGTGCTGCACCAGTTGAGTACTCCTCGACTTACGACCGGTTGGGGGTCGCGGCATTAAAAAGATTGAGAACCACTGTTTTATATGAATTATGATGTTGTGTGCACCCATGAAAGAGGTTGAATGTGGGCTGCTTGGCTCATCTTGAAGAACACTTCCCGTCTTGCAAATTGTTCCATCAGGTCCTGTTGTTCGTGGATCCACGGTTGGCTGCAAAATGATTGTGTTTTCTTCTTCTAATTTTCCCTTTTCCCTTTCTTATTTCCACCCCCCCCCCTCCTTCACAATGTAATTTAGCCCTGGCGAGCTGAAGCCAGTCCCTAGCTAGGAATTGCTCTCAACCTCTGTTGTTTCAAGACCGCCAGCCTGCGGAGTGGAGAGAGGGAAGGCAGCCAGGGGGTGCTTTCCAGGGCCATGTCAAACATCATCCATATTCATGAAATGGATTTAGGAGCCACCAATCTCTAGTGGAGTCAGCTGCCCAGCCGCCTGGGGTTTCTAATGCTTTTACGGCGCTTGGGTAGAATCGCAAGGAGCAGAAGGAAGGAAGCTTAATTCAATCCAGCCACAGACCAGGAGACAGGCAGAGGTCTAGCGAGATGGTAGGTTCAAAACAGCAAAAAGATTAGGGAGGTCGTGTGCTTTACCTCCGCAAGAATGCATCTTTAGACAAAAGGCCACATTTGCATAGCTTTCATATGCCAAGCGGCCCTGCACAAGCTTGGAAATACATCGATTTTTGAACAGACGCGATTCCAGGGTACTAGTTGAATGAATATGAATTATTTTGCTCCTGAAAAGAATTGAATTCAAAGCACGGCTAGATTTAGATGCTAGGAAACTTGTTGCGTTATTCCCTTTTCTCCCAACACCATCCTGTCTCTCTCTTTCCTGGCTGAGTCCTCAAAACTGATGTGACTAGGGTCAACTGAGATGGGATAGTTTGTGATTCGGCCTATTGGGGTAACCCACTCGTAGCATTAACAAAAATTGGGCTGTCCCAGTAAGTCAGACATATCAAACACAAGGCCTGGGGGCCAGATGCCGCCCGCGAAGTGGTTTCATGTGACCCATGAAGCCATCCTGGAAACAGTGAGGGAACAGCCCCCGCTGCCTTGGCCCTGGCCAGTTGGGAGCCAATGTACAATTTTGTGGTGGCCATTTATGCTGAAACGCATTCAGTCTTAGCTCCACAAGGCCGTCTGGAAACAGCGAGGAACCAGCCCCTGCCGCGTCGACCCCGCCCCCTGGGTGCATGCTGGGGAGATGTCATCCTTTGTGAGGAATGAAGAAATGGACCATTGCCTGGAAGTGGCCAGCAAATGGCCCTCGCCGACTTCACATATCCGGCTTGATGGGCTCTGCCCTGGTCCCACCCCCTTCTGCCAGAGACCCTCAGATCTGTCCCACTCCTGCCCAGGCCCCCACAGGCACCCTTGATGCGAATGATGTAGAGCTGGCCATGCCCACCCAGTAGGCCGCACCCACCCGGCACCCCAAGGGCAACCGCAATGCTGATGCAGCCCTCAATGAAACTGAGCTTGACACCCCTGCAGTAAGTGATAAAATTTCATAATGTGAATGTAGCTAAAGTGTTTTCTTAACTTAGAGTTTAATGTGTTGTGGGAACTCTCTCTCTCTCTTACCTCTTACTTTTCTCCATACCCCTATTTTTCTGAGATACATGAAACTAGGATGAAAACTATACATTTTCCCAGTCCCGTATCGATTATGACCACTTAGCCCAAGGATTGACTGCAGCCTAGACATTTGACATTTTGATAGGGAGCTACCAGGTCATTGTAAACTGCTGTTTCCTAACCTTACCTCTGAATTGATCAACTGAAGGCCAAGTTGGACAGTTGGGAGCCCACCAGACGTGGTTCTCATAGTGGTATCCTGGGGATATAATAGGCAAAAGGCAAAATCAATTAACCCAGTCCATACAGTATGTAGAATTCATTGTTCAAGTTTCCTTGGAAGAATTCTAAAGCCTTAATAAAACTGATCCTTCTCAACCTTGAAGAATTGCTTGGCTGGGGTAGACTAAAGGGCCAGCTAACTTAAGATGTATTTTCTAAAAAAGGAGACATTCAAAAAATTTGCAAGAAGCATGGGGGAACAAGGACCCATCTCTGTTTATCTTCACAGTATGGTCATCAAAAGTCTGGAAGAACTTCATTTGGTCATCAAGAGTTTCATTCATTCGCTGACGTATTCCAAGAGATAAGCTGAACCCTCTTCCATGACATAACCATGTCATTTGAATTGACAGTTTAAGACTGAACCAATACCAGACTTCAAACTGAGGAACAAGAACCACTGGTGAGTGGGGTCATTGATCTTTGGAAAATAACTGCTCTCCACCTTCCAAGGTTAGATTGGCATCAACCCGGCTGGGTTTAAGAGTGCAGTTATGACTTGGCTGTTTTAAAAGGTCTTTGGGGAAAAGTACGATGGCCGTTTCTACAGTAGTTTTTCCTCTTTCTGGAATGTTGCTGTTTGGCAAGGTACAACAACATTTTTATTATTTTGTGCTGCATTTCTTGTTTTCATCCTTTTATGGCAACTGGAGGACTAAGCTGCTTAGAGTCAGATCACGACTGACGTAGCTCATTAAAATACAGCCAATCAATCAGTGAATCCATCAGTCAATGAGTCATCGAAACTACAGAATCCCCTGGGAATACTAACATAAAACACCTCTTTTGAGTAAAGTAATTCTATCTTGGTTTAGCTTTCTAAGCCAGCTAGAGCTGTCCTACCCATCCCACATTTCAAGCCAGAAGGAAGCTATTGCTACACAATCAGTAAAACTGGAAGAAACTCAACAAATATTACATCTGGCAACAAGTGAGAATTGAAATCCGCAGCTAGACTGCCTCTCCTGCCTAGAATCCCAATGGCTTCTGTTTACAGCAAAGGCCATTTTTAAAGGATCTCGTAGAGTTTCTGGCTCAATCTGGCTTGCGTTGAGAATGAGAGTCATTCCATGAGTTTCCATGTGTGAAGGAGGACTTTGACTCAGGTTTTTCCTGATTCCAATTCAGCAACTGAAGCTTAATTGCAAATAGAACTGGAGACTTTTCTTAAAAGTCTGGACAACCACCTGTCTGAAATGGGTCTCCTGCTTCAACAGGAGGTTGGACTAGGAGACCTCCAAGGTCCCTTCCAGCTCTGCCATTCTATGTTCTGGAACAGTGTTTTCCAATCTGGGCAACTTTGAGATGTCTGGACTTCAATCTCCAGAATTCCCCAACCCACGTGGCTTTTGTTAAGAATTCTGAGAGTTGAAGTCCATACATCTCAAAATTGGCCCAGGGGGAAGAGAAACACTGGAGCACAAATGTGATGGAATTCACCCATTAAAGAAAAAACCCAACATTATTCCAATACAATCTGATTCATCCATTCCTACCTGGATAAGTAGATTTTCTACCCGAATTCCACTTCGGCTGCTATCTGCTGCAAGCTTTCGATAAACTCGGTTGGTCAGTGGCAGCACGGAGTAGCCTAAAAACGGAGATGTGCCTTCCAGATCTTCTCCTGGTGCTGACAGTGTTGGAGAAGAATAAAGAATGGATTAACACCTCTTTAGTGGAAGATGAAAGATCAATTAACCCCTGCTATTCCTCTTCTCTCAGAACCTGCTTTCAGAATTCCAATTCTTCCCAGGTGGACTTCGTTCTGGATTTTAAAGTTGGGATTGAATGTGTGGTTTCTACATTGAACCAATGTCTGGGGATGTTGGACTAGGAGTGGACCTATGATGAATGTTCAAGAATTAGTCTTAAATACCTGAATGTTCTGGAGACATTTGCATCCAAATGGACCTTAGATGGGTTACTATTCAATGAAGCTTGTTAACAAACTGTCAGGTCCTTTGTGGTTTCTGAGCTTGGTTGTTTTCTTGAAGACAATTCATGACCCAACTAGGTAGCAACATCAGTGCTACAAGGGAATGGGTTTATTTCTTCATTTTTAACAATATCCCAATCAAGGAACTACCAACTCAGACAAACAATCCTACAGTAAACAGCCTAATCAAGACCAAGACCAATACTAACAGGGCACGCCACTAGTCTGTAAACAGAGAGCAAACCCCACTGCCTACCAGCGCTGGTGATGTTACCTAGTTGGGTCATGAAACGTCCTCAAGAAACAACCATGGTCAGAAACCACCAAGGACCCCACAGTTCAACCCTGAGCTACAAATATTCTTTTCTATCTTGTTAACTGAACTGGTTATCTAGCTACAAGAGAGTCTTCTATTAGCTCTGGGCCCTATCTTGGATGCTACCATGCCTTACGGTATGGTTCTTATGACGGCCTATGGTCTGGGAAGAGTTGGCCAGCTTCTTGAGCTCATTCCCTCCCTTAGAAAGAAGATGCCAGCTCCTTGTTAGCACACCCTGGGACTTACTCGATTTATAGTATTCAATTAGCAAGGCCGTATCATCTGAAAAAGCAGTAGCACCATCCCTTCCTTGAAACAGGAAGGAAGTATTCCACATGGGCTGTTCAGGAGGTCCACCAAGTGAAGAAACCTGAGGATTGGAGAAAAGATAGGATGAAAGCTCAAGAGGCACCTCGGATGATGAACATCGATGCTGAACCAAGTTAATAAACTGCTTGGCTGAGTTCACACAGCAAAGACCGCAAGTCTTTCTAATAGCCTGCTGAAAAGGCAATAAAAAATAAACAGGCAATAAAACGGAGGAAAGCTTCACGTATTACACAGCATAACAATTTCGCCATAAAATTTAATTGCGCAGGAAGCCAGAGGTAAAATATTTGCAGAATATCCCAGTTTTCAGATTCCATACAGATGACTCCAAGAAAGCGCAGAAGGACCGTGGTGGAGTAGATCCAACGTCTAACAAATCAAGCCTTCTCTTTCTTTGGTTCATCAGATGTCCCCAAATGTCCCACCCTCAAACCCCACCAGAAGAAAGTGGGACATCAATAACCATCTTCTGTTTTTGCTCCTTAATAAGAAGAGACATTGTGCTTCATCAGCTCAGGATTTTCCTTTAACTCCTGAACCTAATGCAGGTAGGCCATCCCTTTAGGGACCATTCATTGTTTTAGATTTCATTTGATCTACATATTTTATAGGAACTGATCTAATTTGCACATTGTGGATCAGAAGGCTGTCATCCTTCAACATTTCCTGTCCTTTACCCCTGAATTGTATCTGAAGAGGGATGAGAGGGAAGAAAGGAGAGGAGAGAGAAAAGAGTAAAGGAGGGGAGAAGGAAGTAGGAAGGTTGGAGAAGAAGAGGAGAAGTGGGGAGAAAGGGGAGGAGAGTGGGGAAGGAAAGAGAAGAGGAGAGGAAGAAGAGGGAAGTAGGGAAGAGAAGAAAGGGAGAAAGAAGGTAGAGAAGAAGGAGTGTGGATACAGTGAAAGGGGAAATGGGCGAGCAACACCCAAAGTCATGTGTATGTATTTATTTCATTTTCTTAAAAGTATCTTATATATGAATGTAAAAAGAACGTATGTTAACATCTGATAAATATCTCGGTATATGTATGGGGGAAAAATAAAAAATAAAAAAATTATTTTAAAAAAACCCAAAACATTTCCTGTCCTGCAACTGGAAAAATATAGTTATTATCCAAAAAAGTGTCCATGAAAAGAAGGTTGAGGTACAAACGTGTAGATTAGGAAAATGTGCATTGAAGTACAAACGTGTAAATCTACACCGTTGTGTATTCTTTTCTTTTTTCTTTTCCTTTTGTTTTCTCTTTTCTCTTCTTTTCACAGCAAGATGCTGAAACCTGATTGAACTGACTTCAAAATGAGCCTACTCCAATTTGAAATGGGCCAAATATTGATTAAACGATACGTCCCCAGCCATCAAACTAAATATATTAGAAAAGCAAGCATACAGACAATTAGCAAATGAAGCAGGCATGCTCTTCCCTCTCCCTCAAACGAGGAAGAAGGAGAATGAGACAGAAGAGAGATATTGTTGCTTACATTCCTATCCACACATACTAATCCAAAAGCAGTGGTTCACACAACATGCTTAACCAAGGCCGATATAAAGCCTGGGGTTGCATGCACAAGACCTGCTACTCTTGGTTACTACTGAATTGTTTTGTTCATCTTTCTCTACCAGGAGGTTGGTTTGTGATTCCTTGTGTGACACAAACCCAGATAATGGGTTAATCAAATCACGTATATTGATTAAACATAGTCTGTCTCTCTTCCTGCCTCCCTCCTTCCTTCCACCCCTCTCTCTCTCTCTCTCTCTCTCTCTCTCTCTCTCTCTCTCACACACACACACACACACACACACACACACACACTTACAACCCAGAGTTTTCCTAGGCAAAACACCAAAGAAACATCATTATTTATTCATTTAATAGTAGCATTTATATACCTCCGGCCCCCATGAGGACTTCCAGTGATTTACAAAAGGCTGGGACATAAAATCCATGCAATCATGGCCCTTAATGATTAAGTCACACGCTCACCCCAAAGGTTACCCTCTTTCACTCGCTCTCTTTCTCTACCCCCACAATTCCCAGGGCAGCCTGGAACGGAGACATCTCGCTCCAATGTCTTCTGACCACTTTAATACCGTTGAACTGTTGAGGTCAATGCTGCAAAACTCAAGTAAGGGCCACCGGGACCGACTAATCTAGAACTTCGCTCCTACTGGGGTGAGTTTCTGCTATTGTTCTGATGATAGAAAAGATTATGGAGGCCTAGGGGGCCACTGGGCAATATTCTAACCGTGCACCATCATCGTAGTTGGTGAAAGGGAGACGCCGACAAATGAAAGATCTGGAGTTTAGGGGATATACATAGAGGTAGTCTTTGACTTACCACAGTTCATTTAGTGACCGTTCAGAGTTACAATGGCACTGAAAAAAGCGACTTATGACCGCTTTTCACAGCTACAACTTTTGCGCCACCCCCAGGGTCACGTGATCAAAATTCACATGCTTGGCAACTGACTCACATTTATGATGGTTGCAGTGTCTACCAGGATCACGCGATCCCCCTTTGTGGCCTTCTAGCAAAGCCAATGGGGGGGAAGCCAGAGTCACTTAGCAACCGGCTTACTAACTGAACATCTGCAGTGATTCCCGTAACAACTGTGGCAAGGAAAGGTCATAAAATGGGGCAAAAGTCACTTAACAAGTGTTAACAACAGAAATTTGGGGCTCAGTTGTGGTCAAAGGTTGAGGACTACCCGCAAATGAAAAATTCAGCAGAGGAGAGCCGTTAGTAAGAGCAAACAAATATTCCCATGTTCAGCTCAGTGGATCTTCACTGTTTTTCCTGACGCAATCTAGAACGTTCAAGAGAGTTCCAACCTAGAACTAAGGAGGAATTTCCCGTCAGTGAGGACAATCAATCAGTCTCCAGAAGTTGTGTGTGCTCCATCACTGGAGGTTTTCAAGAAAAGACTGGACAGTCATTTTTCCAGAATGGAATAGGGCCTCCTGCCATGAGCAGAGAGTTGGACTAGAAGACCTCCAAGATCCCTTCCAACTCTGTTATTCTATGCCAGGGGTAGGCCACCTTGGCTCTTTTATGACTCGTGGACTTCAACTCCCAGAATTCCTGAGCCAGCCATGCTGAGGAGAAAGGGAGAGTTTCCAAGCTGAGCCATGCTAGCTCAGGGATTCTGGGAGTTGAAGTCCACCAGTCATAAAAGAGCCAAGGTGGCCTACCTCTGGCTTATACCCTGTGTTTGCCCGAAAATAAGACCGGGTCTTATATTAATTTTTGCTGCAAAAGACGCAGTAGGGCAGGGGTCTTCAAACTTGGCCCTTTTATGACTCGTGGACTTCAACTCCCAGAATTCCTGAGCCAGCCATGCTGAGGAGAAAGGGAGAGGTTTCCAAGCGGAGCCATGCTGGCTCAGGGATTCTGGGAGTTGAAGTCCACGAGTCATAAAAGAGCCAAGGTGGCCTACCTCTGGCTTATACCCTGTGTTTGCCTGAAAATAAGACCTGGTCTTATATTAATTTTTGCTGCAAAAGACGCATTAGGGCAGGGGTCTTCAAACTTGGCCTTTTTATGACTCGTGGACTTCAACTCCCAGAATTCCTGAGCCAGCCATGCTGAGGACAAAGGGAGAGGTTTCCAAGCTGAGCCATGCTGGCTCAGGAATTCTGGGAGTTGAAGTCCACGAGTCATAAAAGAGCCAAGGTGGCCTACCCCTGTATGCTCTACCCAATGGAATCTTGGTGAGAAATGGTGACTCAGGACTTCATCAGCACATCTACTAGACAACTCATGAACCCACTGAGTCATCATTTCAGAGACATTTCTCCAAAGGAGACTGTATTGCAATGTTTCTCAACCTTGGCAACTTGAAGATGGGTGGAATTCAACCTCCAGAATTTTCCAGCAACTGTACAAGGTTGTGTGGGTGGGTACAGGCTTCCTTCTGCTTTTCTTCTGCAACCCTTTGCTTGCCTGAGGACAGACAAGCTGGTGGCATTTCACTCTGTCACGGATGGACGCCTCAAACTGGGATTTGAATGGGTTCCGGTGTAGATTTTGCTCAGAGAAATGTGACAGTCGGGTGACTGATCAGGGGAGTAATGAAAGGAATCGCTGTACAGAAACGGATACAGCTCAGCACAGGCGCCCAAGGGTTAAACAACTGAGCAAGCAGGACAGGGGGAGGCAGAAAGATTGTGTGTGGGTTGGGGTTGGGGGTTGGAGAGAAAGGGAGAGAGAGCGGTGGACGTGATAGTTCAATTCCCCCTGAGGATTAATTTGTAATTCAATTGCTAAGTGCAGTCCTGATGCCCAGAAAGTGTAATTTACGGTATGTAAAGCAAACCACTTGGGTGGGGTGGGCTTAACCCCACACGCGTGTCTCTGCCTCCTCTACACCAAAGGCTTCTTGCTGCTTTGAAGGCTGATATTGGGAGCTTTTAGAAATTGTGGCTTTTCAGGGGCATTTCCACTCCCCATTTGGGGTGATTCCAACTCTAATGAAGAGATCAGGGCCCCCCTCACAATTAGAAAATACATATGAATAAACCATATGAAGAACGCTTCCAGGAATTGGGTATGTCTAGTCTAGTGAAAAGAAGCCTCTGTGCGTGTGTGTGTGTGTGTGTGTGTGTGTGTGTGTGTGTTTGTGTGTGTATGTGTGTCATGATAACGGTGTCCCAATATTTGAGGGGCTGTCACACAGAAGGGGGGGATCAGCTTATTCTTCAAAGCACCTGCAGGCTGGACAAGAAGCAATGAATGGAAACTAATCCAAGAGAGAAACAACCTAGAACTAAGCAGACATTTTCTGACAGTAAGAACAGTTAATATCAGAGGGACATCTTGCTTCCAGAAGTTGTAGGTGCTCTAACACTGGACGTTTTAAAGAAGAGATTGGACAGCCATTTGTCTGAAAGGGCCTAGGGCAGAGGTAGGCAACCTTGGCTCTTTTATGACTCATGGACTTCAACTCCCAGAATTCCTGAGCCAGCCATGCTGAGGACAAAGGGAGAGGTTTCCAAGCTGAGCCATGCTGGCTCAGGAATTCTGGAAGTTGAAGTCCACAAGTTATGAGGGGGGCCATAGTTCCCCCATGCTGGCTCAGGAATTCTGGGAATTGAAGTCCACGAGTCATAAAAGAGCAAGGCTGCCTACCCCTAGTCTAGGAGGCTCACCGCTTAGAACAGGAGGACTTAGGACAGGGATAGGCAACCATGGCTCTTTTATGACTTGTGGACTTCAACTCCCAGAATTCCTGAGCCAGCCATGCTGAGGGGAAAGGGAGAGGTTTCCAAGCTGAGCCATGCTGGCTCGGGAATTCTGGGAGTTGAAGTCCACGAGTCATAAAAGAGCCAAGGTGGCCTACCTCTGGCTTATACCCTGTGATTGCCCGAAAATAAGACTGGGTCTTATATTAATTTTTGCTGCAAAAGGCGCAGTAGGGCAGGGGTCTTCAAACTTGGCCCTTTTATGACTCGTGGACTTCAACTCCCAGAATTCCTGAGCCAGCCATGCTGAGGACAAAGGGAGAGGTTTCCAAGCTGAGCCAGGCTGGCTCAGGAATTCTGGGAGTTGAAATCCACGAGTCATAAAAGAGCCAAGGTGGCCTACCCCTGTATGCCCAATGGAATCTTGGTGAGAAATGGTGACTCAGGACTTCATCAGCACATATACTAGACAATTCTGGGAGTTGAAGTCCATGAGTCATGAAGGGACCAAAGTTTCCCCCATGCTGGCTCAGGAATTGTGGGAGTTGAAGTCCACGAGTCATAAAAGAGCCAAGGTTGCCTACCCCTGGTCTAGGGTCTCCTGCTTGCGCAGGGGGTTGCACTAGAAGACCTCCAAGGCCCCTTCCAACTCTGTTAGTCTGTTAAAAGGGACAAAAGCATCACCCCATCAGTGTCCTGCTAAGGGCATCTCCACAGGACTTGCCCAAAGCTGTATTTGAATGAAATTCAAGGTCTGGGGGTGGGGTGTCAGCCTTGTGATTCAATTCTGCTCTTTCTTAGCAGATTCAATTTGGCTCCTTCTTCGCAGATTCAATTTTGTTTTTGTTTTTTCTTCACAGAAGAGCTACACAGTATTCACCTGCAAACTTCCTCCTCACCCGAGAACATCCTGCTTGGAGAAAATGGACTGAAATAGGAAAAAAAAAATCTAAATGAAATCGGAAAGGGAGGGCTGGGCTGAAGGTTTTTTCTCCTTACCGATAAGTAGTCCAGGGTCTCTGTCGCAAAACCAAACTTTCATTTCAGGTCTTTAACAAAACTGATAAAAAAAGAGGAGGGAAGGGAATACATTTTCACAGCCCAGATGGCTCCACTAAATCATTTATAACACCCAATCGACATCCTGTATCTTCTTTTTCTTTCTTTTTCGCCAATTCCAGCTGGCAACGTGCCTCACTGGAGGATTGCCAGTCGAATCCGGATGGAACAGGGGCTTCCATTCCCTTCTCTTTCCCCAGGGAGCTAATATTCATGAACCTGGGACCTACTGTCTTGCTATCCTTATGTTCGGCTCATTGTCTACAGCTTCCTGTGGACAATTTTTAAAAATATATCTCCCATCACAGCTTTTGCAATCCATTTAAGTTCCAACAAGAGCCAAGAACGTCTCTGGGTGACATTATTTCACTACTGGTCCAATACACTTCACCCTTCATACTGTATGTCAGTGGTTCTCAACCTGTGGTCCACAGACGCCTGGTGGCTATCATGTCTTTTCTCTCCCTCTTCCCTCCTACCTGTGGATATCCATGGTTGTTGACTCGAGGGACATCAAAATCTTCCATTACAGGATCTGGGAAATTTACCACCGTCAAGGGAACGGCCGGAGCATCAGGCAACCGATCCTGCATCTCTCTTCTTTAGAAAGAATGAAAAAGGACAGAAGAGTCAAGCGTGATCAACAGCTTGATGTCATTTGATGGTTGGCGAGAAGATTCTAATCACAGTCTAATCCCAGATCTGCAGAACCTCTTCTTAAAAGGAAGTCCTGTACTACTCCACAGGTTTACGTCAAGTAAGTATGCCACGCAATGTAGGCTGCTCAGAAGTAAATTCCACCAAGCTAAAAAAAAAAAAATTCCAGACAAGTCCTGGTGCAAGATACATTCATGGCCTTACACAATTTTTGACCTTTCTGGATCAATGTCTGGGCAGAAGAATTAGAAGGAGATGGTTATATCACATGGCTTAGAAAACCAGACCAGCTTAAAGTGAACTGCCTGTCAACCATCCGGCTGGTGTATTCAATATTAAAGAAACTCTACAGTCTTGAAGTGCCATAAGAGATCATTTTTACTGAATACACATCCCGGCACCAAAGAAGCAAAATCAACTCTAGTTTTCCCACACGAAATTCTGTTTAGTTAACAATGGCTTTTCATAACCCCCACCCACCAAGTGTTCATGTTGCCCAATCACATCTTTTCTGTTTGTTATGGGAACGGTCCACTTCTTCGTCAGACACCTGCTTTTGACGGCCTTGGGTCTCATGGACCAGGGACGGCTTCTTGAAACTCCCGTTTCTTTCCCAGGCTTTCCCTCCCCCATTTCCATGGCAAGTTGAGTAGCGACAGAGATTAGCAAGCATCTTAGCCATTCAACCTTGACATTGCAATTGTCCCCATTCACTACAGTAGCCAGATAAGATAAGATAAGATAAGATAAGATAAGATAAGATAAGATAAGATAACCTTTATTGTCATTTCTATACTGTGGGCACAACGGTACACATCAAAAATGAAATTTAGTTGCCCACTCTCAAGTGAAACACATACATGACACACACCTAAACATACTATGAACAACATATGTATAGACCCACATCCCTGCATATATGTAGCAAATAAATATTAAATATTGTCCATCTTGAATATATAACGGAAGGAGGAAGCTTCAGAGTTCGCAAGGTTAATGCTGTATGAAATGAAACTCTGGCTGAATCTGGATGTTCTGCTACCACGAAGCCCTCCCCCTCCCAGAAGGTAACAAGGAAAACAGGTCGTGAAGAGGATGTGTAGTGTCCCAGATGATCTTACGGACCCTGCTCAAGCAGCGCTTCTGTGCTATGTCCTGGATGGGAGGGGGGGAACTGCCAATGATCTTTTCAGCCATTCTCACAACTCTCTGCACCGCCTTCCTGTCTGAAGCAGGGATGCCTCCAAACCAGACTGTGATGCTGTATGACAGGACAGCTTTCTTAGAAAACCTCGCTGTCACATTTCTGGATTTTCAGGAAGTTTGCACACAATCCCCATGAGGTTTGCCACCTCACACATGCGCATACATGCACAGATCCTTATTCAGGATCTATTACTCACACGTAAGCTCCAACGTTGTTCACTATTCTAGCAACGGCTTTGACTTTGCCACCAGGCTGGGCAAGAGACTCATTGAACCCCTTGAGGAAAACCTAAAATTGGAAGGAAAACAGTGAAAAGATCACTAACAGATTCCTGAAGCACTCTGGGAAGGAATATTCCCTGTAGAATTGTGTCAATTACTTGAATTACTGGATTTTTTTTTAAATCATCCATGGACATCCTTCTTTAGAACGTCTTTGAAATTCAGTTTCTTTTGAAGACCACCAAGTTCTAAATGGCTGTGATCTGAGGCATCTTTAAGTGGTCAAGAAATGGTTGTTTGTAAAATAAACAACCATTTCTTGACCAGTTAAGGATGCTTCATATCACACACATTTCGACACCAAGAGAAGCAACGGTCATATTTCTCATCTGAAAAAAATAAAATAAAAATCCCATGTCTAGCCCCATCTGATTTATTCATGAAGCTCTCTGTGACCCATCACCCCAATGGCTCAGATTTAATAACCTGTCCTTGTTATTTCCCTTTCCCTCACCTCCAGCCCTGTGTAGTTCACTCCAGCATAGCGTGGGATGAGGCTGCGTTTACGAATGATGGATGCATATAACTTGGTTCCTGTTTGGTCCTTCTTCCGTGGCTGTTCGAAACCAGAATGAAAACAGATCAGAAGGTGCAAACAAGACAATAAACCAAGCCATAGGAGGCTTACAGATTGTTCTTGAGATGGCTCTAAGGAACTGTAATTGATAAGTAAATCAGGAGCTGTTCATTATAGTTCATGCTACCCTGGAGATTAGTTCAATGCCATAAATTGCTCTGATTGGCATAAAAGTAAGTACAGTAATGCTTCCATTCCTGGAGAAACAATAAAACAACTAAGCTAACATCAAAAATTTGGCTGTTGGGAAGATCAATGGCCAGTAGATTTGAAAATACAAAAGGGGAGAGCTTATGTTCTGATGTCACAAGGCACTTTTTGTTGTTCTCTCATCATTGTGGTTAGTTCCAGATACCTATGCAATCGAAAAAATGTTTCATGTTTGGTCTGTGGTAATCTTTTGGTGTCTGTGGATATCTAAGTCGTGTTTCTCAATTTTGGCAGCCCAAAGAGGTGTAAACCTCAACCCACAACTGGGAGTTGAAGTCCACACTTCTTCAGGTTGCCAAGGTGGAGAAACTCTGATTTAGAAGAACTGTACTTCTCTCTCTGTGGAGATTTCCAAGGTAAGGTCGGGCAGATGTCTTTAGATGATCAAGCTTGGATTTCTTAGATTAAACAGAAGACTTCCATGGCTTATAAACCCCCTCCAGTTCTATTGTTTTATTTCACATTTTGTTCTCTCCCTCTCAAAGTTCTGAACCACTTTATTATCATAACTTATCAAGAGCTGTGCCATGGCACAAAGAAGCTGAAATTGAATGGAAGGCATTACTCATTATTTTGAAGTATGCAGATCGACTAGTTTCCTATATAAAAGTCCAGGAAGAGTGAATTCTTTACATATTTCTACACTGAACTGGATTGTGGCTTAGAATCTGCAAAGGAGGGACAAGACAGAAACCTTTCAATTGCCCTGTTTGTAATTATCGGTAAAGCACTCATCTTTAAAAGCTTTAAAAGGTTAGAATCACAAGCAATTCAGCCCTATAGAAATACTGGGAGGCCGACGCTGAGATGAGCAGAGCCTACAAATGGATTCCTGAGCCATCACCAGACAGCTAATCATTATCGTGTCATCAATACAAGCACTTTCCTTTAAAAAAAAAAAAAATCAGTCTTTGTGCAAAATGGGGAGGTGGGCTGGCAAAGTAAAGTGTAAAGGTTGGATTTTTTTTTAAGATGTCAGAAAGAAGAATTTGCAGTTACATTCTGCATAGCACAATGGCTTCAAGGGACAACACTAATGTTTGCATTTAAGGCATTTTAGCTTTCCAGGATGAATGGAAATACGTAGGTATCCATTCTCAGATGATTGAAGGGATGGGATGGGGGGGGGTTCTTTATCTGTTCTATAGTTTCGGCTTGGAACAAAAAGGTTTCTCCAGCATCCAGCCAAATCTGGGGAAATTACTCCTGAAGCACTCCTGAAATCCAAACTGGACCTCATTGAGATATTCTCTGAGTTCTTCCCCTCGCCTTTAAATTTCCTTTTTTTTTCTCTCTCTCTCTCTTTTTCTTTTCATTCTTTTTTTGTACTTCTTCAATCTCAGAACACTCTCAATTGTTCGTCTCATTTCTCACACACCACTTGAGTTTGCTACTGTAGAAAGAGCGAGCGGCATTTGATGATAGGAAAACAGGATATGTATTTTGCATAAATGGAGGTTAGATGGAACTGTAGAACTATAAAATAATGGACCAATAGAATGCTAGGAAAATGAGTAGCCAAATAGAGATAATACAATATCGATAGAACAAAAAAATAATAAAATAGGTACAATGATTGATTGATACAGTAGATATACAGATGTGGACAGAGAGAGTCAAGAAAGAAACAAGAGAGAGAGAGAGAGAGAGAGAGAGAGAGAGAGAGAGAGAGAGAGAGAGAGAGATAAATAGACAGATTATGAATGGAGAAAGATAGATGGAGATAGATGGTTAGAAGATAGAGATGGACATGGATGGATAAGGAAGATTATGGATGGAGAGAGATGGATGAACGGATGGATGGACAGACGGATGGCGACAGACTGACTGACAGATAATAGATGGAGATGGATGGATAACAGAAAAACAGAATAATAGATTTGGAAGGGACCTCAGAGATCTTCTAGTCCAGTGGTTCTCAATCTTTTTAATGCCGCGACCCCCAACTGGTCGCAAGTTGAGGACTACTCAACTGGTGCAGCACCGTTTGCAGAATGGGACTTTTGGCGGGCTCAGCAGGGCAGAGACAGCCTGGACAATTCCTATGGGCTTTTGAAAGCCAATAGAATTAGACTCTATTCAAGAGAGTCTCTTCTATTGGCTTTCAAAAGCCAATAGAATAAAAGGGAGGAGCACAGCTAAGGAAAAGGGGGAAAAAATGGCGGACTGCGTTGTTTGGTGACCCCCGTGAAATGGTCGTTTGACCCCAAATGGGGTCCCGACCCACAGGTTGAGAACCACTGTTCTAGTCGAACCCCCTGCTCAAGCAGGAGACCCTATACAATTTCAGACAAATGGTTGTGCAGTCTCTTCTTAAAAACCTCCAGTGATGGAGCATCCACAACTTCTGGAGGCAGATCATTCCACTGGTTAATCATTCTAGCAGTCAGGAAATTCTTCCTTAGTTTTAGGTTGCTTCTGTCCTTGATCCTGGATGGATGCATGGATGCATGGACAGACAGACAGACAAACAGATGTCTCAGTAGTCGCTACTCCTTCTCTCCCATTCCTGTTTTCTCACTGCTATTTTTGTCTTTTTCCACTTTGGGCCTCTCAGACCTTCTGCCCATTTTCACACACTCTCCACCCCCAGCAGCGCCCCCACCCCACCCCTTCCCTTTCACTGCTCATGCGGAAAAGCAAACATGTCAGGTTGCTGCTTTAGCTGCCTTTGAATGTCAAGTTGTTCCTTTTAATGCCTTTGATGCCACAAAGGTTAGAAAGGAGAGAATTTTGTCTCTCCCATTTGCTTGGCTGAGCAACAAAACTCCCCTCCAAGTAAACAAAGAATGTGCCTTCTTTCGCAAAAATTGGGCAAAGGGCGAGGAGGGGACAGGAGAAGCAGACCCCTTAAATCCATGGATTTTCAACAGCTTGACCCACAACAAGATCTCCCCCCTCCCCCCCCCGTAGACCTCGTATTCTCCGCAAATACTGTGTTGTTTCTCTGTGTCATATAATATATGTGGGTATATGCATAATTCTGTATTTTATTTTTGATATATTTATGTTGGTCACCACGATGTAAAAAAGATGTTGAGACTCTAGAACAGCAGTTCTCAACCTATGGGTCGCGACCCCATTTGGGGTCGATCGACCATTTTTCGGGGGTCGCCAAAGGCGGCGATCCGCCATTTTCTTCCCTCCGGGGGCGGCGCCGCGCATGGGCGCTGCGCATGGGGGTGGCGCCGCGCCTCCGGGGGCGGCGGTGCGCATGCGCAGCGCGCATGGGGCGCCGCTGCGCGGGGCCCCGCCCCCATGTGCACCACGCTGCGCATGCGCATAACGTTTGTGTGACGGGGGTCGCCGTCACACAAACGTTGAGAACCGCTGCTCTAGAAAGAGTGCAGAGAAGAGCAACAAAGATGGTTAGGGGACTGGAGGCTCAAACATATAAGGAACAGTTGCTGGAATTGGATATGTCTAGTTTAACGAAGAGAAGGATGAGGGGGGACATGATAGCAGTGCTCCAATATCTCAGGGGCTGCCCCAAAGAAGAGGGAGTCAAGCTAAAGCGTTTGAAGACCGGACAAGAAGCAACGGATGGAAACTAAACAAGGAGAGAAGCAAGCTAAAACTAAGGAGAAACTTCCTGACAGTGAGAACAATTAACCAGTGGAACAACCTGCCTCCAGAAGCAGTGAATGTTCCATCACTGGAAGTTTTTAAGAAGAGACTGGACAGCCATTTGTCCAAAATGGTATAGGGTTTCCTGCCTGAGCAGGGGGTTGGACTAGAAGACCTCCAAGGTCCCTTCCAACTTTATTATTATCATTATCATTATTAGTATACTGGAGGTGATGACCTTTTGAGAGCTGCAGGCAATGAAATTTCATTTTGATGTATGCCAATTAGTGTACATTCAAAGTGACAATAAAGTTATTAATCTATTCTTCTATTCTAGCGTTAGAGAACAAGACCTTTTTGGTGATGCAACTTAGGTTTGGTAGAACGTAGAGCTCCAAGCTGTTGTGTTTTTTTTTCAGCTTTTCAATGACAGGTTAAAATCATCCCATCCAAGTTCTCATGGTTGGGGGTTTTTCTTTTTCTCTTGCAGCCATCTAAACATCTGCTCTGCATCTGCTATTTTGTTCTGGTAATGGCTTCTCTTTGGTGTTTAGATTGCAAAGGGGTTTGTTTGCTTTTGCTAGGAACATTAGCCATCTGGAAGCACGCCCTGTTCCCACCTCCCTGGGTTGGTGGGAAAGCTTTGAAGTGGAGAAATAATTGTGCTGCACAAACAAGTAGAACTGCACGCTGGGGTCCAAGCAGTCTTCTGTAGCTTTCTTCTTGATGTGCTAGCTCACCATCCGCAAGGACTTTGGGGGAAGAGTTTTAATTATGTGTTTGCATTTATGGACAGAGGTGGTAAGTTCTCGACTTCCAACCGTTCATTTAGAGACAGATCAAAGTTACGCAAGTACCGAAAAAAGCGACTTAGGATCAGCCCTCAGGATCCTCACACTCCCTCCTCCCCCGATCCTGTGATTAAAATTCCGGTGCTTGGCAGTCTGTATGCATTTATGACAGTTGCAGTGCCCTGGGTTCATGTCAGCTCACAAATATTATCCTTTAAAGTTTAAACAGGTAGGTTACGTCAGTGGTCCCGAATAATTTTGGCACAGTAAGGTTCGCTCGCCCACCACTCACCTCCAGCTGTGCAGCCTGGTTCTTAATAGGCCATGGACCAGTACTAGTCTACAGCCCGAGGGTTGGGGACCCCTGGATTACATGACTCACCAGCACTAAAGCACAGTGATAATGATGAAAAGGACGCAGGTATTTTACAGGGATGTTGTATTTCGCAAGAATTTCTTTGGTGTCCTTGTCAGCCACAGTGAGAGACACATCTGGGAAGAGAAGAAAAGGGTAAACAAAGACGGTCAGATTACATAACAAAAACGCCAGCGAGCCAAACTTAGCTAAAGGTGGGAGAATCATGGTCAGCTCTTTCCATTTTTATTTTCTTTCCTTGAAAGCAAACGGGGCGCCAGGCTTCTGCTTTTGATCAGAGCAGTGACATTTAATCTCTTAGTCCTTTGTGCCATTTTCCCAATCTAAATATCTCCCCCAGGGAGCTATTAGGCACATAAAAGAAAAAGAAAAAAAGCAGATTCTTTGGTCATTTTTATATTGTTTCCCGTGCTCTGGGGAGAAGTCGCCCAGTTTCAATGGGGAGGGTGGCAGCTGATTGAGATCCAAAAAACATAATGGAATCGGGAGGATTAACAGCCCTGGTCTGAAAGGCACTCCTCTGGTGAAAATTAGAAGCAGAGCACCTGCTTTAAAATAAAAAAAGAGAACCAAATATCTATCTTTTCCTAGCTGTTGCAAAATTGATTGGTGTTTTCATTAATCTATCTTGCATGGACCATCCCAAATGCTTGTTAGTTACTGAGAGCTCAGAACCTAGACAGACAGATAGATAGATAGATAGATAGATAGATAGATAGATAGATAGATAGATAGATAGAAAGATAGATAGGATGGATGGATAGATGGGAGAGATACATTATGGATGGAGGTAATAGAAAGAGATAGATAGAACTAGATAGCTGAGATAGATAGATAGATAGATAGATAGATAGATAAATAGACAGACAGATGATAGATAGATAGATGATACATAGATAGACAGATAGACAGATAGATAGGATGAGAGAGACTATGAAGATTAGAAATCAGTAGTTAGACAGAAAGACAGACAGACAATGGATGGAAATAGATGATAGACCAGTGGTTCTCAACCTTTTTAATGCTGCGACCCCCAACCGGTCATAAGTCGAGGACTACTCAACCGGTCATAAGTCATGGACTACTCAACTGGTGCAGCACCATTTGCAGAATGGGACTTTTGGCGGGCTCAGCAGGGCAGAGACAGCCTGGATAATTCCTATTGGCTTTTGAAAGCCAATAGAATTAGACTCTATTCAAGAGAGTCTATTCTATTGGCTTTCAAAAGCCAATAGAATAAAAGGGAGTAGCACAGCTAAGGAAAAGGGGGAAAAATGGCGGATTGCGTTGTTTGGCGACCCCCGTGAAATGGTCGTTCAACCCCAAATGGGGTCCCGACCCACAGGTTGAGAACCACTGTGATAGACAGACATTTCAATAGCCATCACTTTACAGGTCTACTGCACTATAACTGCAGTAGGAAAATTGCCATATTGTTGTCATCTGGGACAAGCCATCCATGTGCTAATTTCTAACCTCACCAATTATCCTGCTTATGAGTTTCTAACATTGCTAAGCAAAGTTTTAAAAGCTCTGGGGAACAAAAGGCACGTGCGAAGAAAATAAGCTCCTGTCCACTTGATAAAATTCATTATTCTTAGTTTCACATGTGAAAGTTGCTTGAAGATGCTTTCAATCCTGGGGACCCCCCCCCCCATCCTCCCCCTCCCGCAAGAAGAAAGCGCTGTCCTTGGTGCTGAACTGTGATCAGGCACTACTTGAAGGAAAGAGGAAGGTGTCATGAAGAGTTGATGGTGTATACATTTTAGTATGGAATTTACATCTTCAGAGGGTGGGGAATATCCACAGAGAGTAGCTATGTTAGGCTGTGGTAAAAAGAACTAAAAAAAAACCCCTTAAAGGATTTGTAAATTTTCACATTTTTATCTGCAAAGATCAGCCTTTACTTCTATTCCCACCTCAAGTCTTTTTAAAATTCCTTTCTAACACATTTGTGTATGCTTTATTTATTTATTTATTTATTTATTTCTATCCCAGATTTATTATTTTTTATAATGTTGTGAGAGATGGAGGGAAGAGGAGGAGAAGGGAGACCAGGACAAAGGGAAGGGAAGGGAAGGAAACATATTGAAATAGTGCTGTATTAAAATAAAAAACGAACTTTTTAAAAATCTTTCGTTTCACTGCTCCATCAAAAGTAGAACACCATAACAGCTAAGCCTTCAATAAAAATAAGGAACCTAATAATTTAAGAGTATGAAAGCAAAAGCCAGACAATGAAAGTTGAACCAAATTTTTATGAAAATTGGTGTGGGGAGATAACCCTTTTAGCAGGCCCAAAATAGAGAGTTTTCAGAGTCTGCTTAGTTGAAACAGGCTTCTTCTGTTATTTCAACTGGAGCAAAAAATAAGTACCTGCAGATTTGGGTGGACCATTGGCTTATATCTTCCTCACTTCTTGGCCTACTAAGAGAAATTCTAAAGGCTCTTATTTTTTATGATTAGCTGATCTGGGATGACCAGACCATTCCCTTGAGCCAACTTGAGATGGAAACCTAGCACTCTCTTCCTGAGGTACATTGTGTAGATCAGGGGTCTTCAAACTTGGCCCTTTTATGACTTGTGGACTTCAACTCCCAGAATTCCTCGGCCAGGAATTCTGGGAGTTGAAGTCCACAAGTCATTAAAAGGGCCAAGTTTCAAGACCCCTGGTGTAGATCATGAAAATTCCATCCAACCACCTAACTAATCCCTGGGGTTCAGGAGCAGAAAGAGGAAACATGCAGAAATTTGTGGAAGACTCCCGAATGTTATGCCACACCAGCAATTCTATTTTATCTCTCCCCCCTCTTCCTTGAGAGAGAATAATCAGAATGCTGGGTTCTGAGGTATTGAAGACCAGGTAGGAAAAATTGCAAGCATCGTTGCTAAATAAAAGGGGAAGGAGAAGGCATTGGTTGAATGTGGGATGGAAGAAGAGATGGAACGTAGAATGGATGAAGGACTAACCAGGGTTACATAGGCACCACCCTCTTACTGATGCCCTCTTCTCCCTTGACCAAAATCACTGGCCTTATTATGTTCTCCTAAGCCTCCACAGCATTTTATGAGAACTCAGCTGAAGCTCAGGTCTGACCTTATTAGGAAGTCCTGAGCCAAGAAGACATTGCTGCTTTGTGTCTGGAGATGCTCTCCAGCCTGTCTGCAAAGCTGTCTCATTATCTCCCCCCCCCCAGCCTTGTTCTTGCCATGACCATTATTCTTTGTCCCTTAAACTCCTTGCCAAAGAAGGAAGACCTGCCTGTCCTGTGAGCCTTGACAAGGGAAAATAGAGCCTCATTTCCTCAATCATTAGTTGCCAGTTGCTTTCTGTGTGACCCCCCCCCCGGAGGTAGGGGGCAGAAGCATCGTGCAACTATGACTGAACAGATATCTACGGAGCAACAGTCCGCCGGGCAGCTGCCCAACACGTGCGTTTCTTTGTCTCTCCCTCTTCTTTCTCTCTCTCTTTCTTTTGAGATCCCTCCAATCTATTCATTTTCTTTCTGATTGCAATCACGAACTCCAAGAATGCTGCTACTTCAGCGTTGTCGCCGGGATGGCCACCATCCATCACAACATCTTGATCAGAGAGCAAAGGATGAAACCCCACTAAAGTACCTTGACTCTTCTTTTCCTAAGCTTAAGGGCTGATTTTTATTTATTTCTTTTGCTATCGGGAGCAGATGCGATGGCTCAACGGTTAAAGACGCTGAGCTTGTCAGCTGGAAAGCTGACAGCCCAAGTAAGAGACCCGAGCGCCACACGGCGGGGTGAGCTCCTGTTCCTTGCCCCAGCTCCTGCCAACCTAGCAGTTTGAAAGCGTGCAAGTAGATAAATAGGTACCATTTTGGTGGGAAGATAACAGCATTCCGTGTGCCTTTGGTGTATAGCCTTGCTGAGGGAGCCAGCATTGTCCGAAGACATATTTGTGGCCACATGACCACAAATATGTCTTCGGATAACGCTGGCTCCCTCAGTTAAGAAACAGAGATGAGCGCTGTGCCCTAGAGTCAGACATGACTGGACAGAAGCATTTGACCTATCTTTTGCTGAAGATGCTTTTCTTTTTCTTGGGGAAGTCTCCAGCTGAGAGAGCTTGTGGGGGGTGTCCTTTTGGAGTGCTGCACCCTTAAAGGAGCAGGTCTCTGACCACACAATCATGGACCCCATCTTGACTTTTTTGACCTGTCCTGTAGATGCCCCTGCCTTGCCTAAACAAACAGCATTCTCCAACTGGAGACTAAAAGGACCTAACCTTGAAGTTCTGCAGGCCCTGTCTCTTCCGATCCTTCTGGGCTGAGACAGGTAGGGGAGTCCATCAAAGTCTGCTTTGTTTCACTGCATCAGGAGCTGTAATGGAATTACCTGGAGTGCTACGGCCGACTGCCGCTGGCTTCATTTCGCCAGCGTCTGGCATTAATCTAATTGCTAACTCTAATGCCATTAGTATTATTATGATTACCCACATAACATCGCTCAGCTTGGAAGAATAAAGATCAAGTCACCAGGACGAATGGCCACCGTCTTGGGAAAACACCCCAATTATCTATCATCATTTCCCCATTAAGGTAGGCAACGGAGCTAGGAGGGAAGAGCCAGGGACAGCAGATTCCATTTCCTAGCTGGGAGATAAGCGGGACTATTTGGTAGACAATTATTATTAAATATAGACTCATTTGCTTGGTGCAGAGAGGAAAGATTCAGAAGCAGTACTCTCTATATCAGACATGTCAAACACAAGGCCCGGGGGCCGGATGAGGCCCACGAAGTGGTTTCATGCGGCCCACGAAGCCATCCTGGAAACAGTGAGGGAACGGCCCCCTCTGCCTTGGCCCTCGCCCAGGGCAGCCAGGAGCCAATGTACAATTTTGTGGTGGCCATCTATGCTGAAATGCATTCAGTCTTAGCTCCATAAGCCCCCTCCCCCCACATGGCCTGAGAGGAGCAGTGAGGCTCCTCCAATGGACCATGCTTTGGCCCTTGCCCTGGTCCTACCCCCTTCTGCCAGAGACCCTCAGATCTGTCCCACTCCTGCCCAGGCCCCCACAGGCACCCTTGACGCAAACGATGTAGAGCTGGCCACACCCAACCAGTAGGCCACACCCACTCCATCCACACCCACCCAGTAGGTCGCACCCACCCTGGCGACACCCACCCGGCCCCCTGAGGGCAACCGCAATGCTGATGCGGCCCTCAATGAAAATTGAGTTTGACACCCCTGCTCTACACAATCTGCTCTTTACACAATCTACACCACCTCATGTGTTTATGCCACCAAATTCAGTTCAGTTTGGCACACAAACTTTTTAAACTCTTGCATTCCATTGATTAAATTCCATCAAGTTGGCGTCAATACTTGATGTTCTCCGGGACCCTCAAGTTGGCGTCAATACTTAAGGACCACATAGATGTTCTCCGGGACCCTCAAAAAAACCCCAATCTGATCCTTAAGAACTTCCAACCCCCATCACCACTGTAACTGAATCTATCCTTCTTATTTCCAGTTGACCCCTTTTCCCCTTCCATTCAATTTCATTCAGCCCCACCAAGATTCTCAGATCTTCCAAAGTGGTCCCACCTTCTTCTCCTGCCTTGATGGAGTCAATTTCCACTGTCACTCTTTCCTCCCAGGTTGGAGCGTATGTGGGTTGTGCGGGGACATGGGTCACTGCCTGAGCTGGCTGTTTGCTGTCTTCTTCGGAAGTGGTTTTGCTATAAATGGAGAAGAGGGGAAGATGCGACATAATTTGGGAGCTTGGTAGACAGCAGCAGAGAAAGCATTCCATACGGAGATAAAGTCAGCGTTTGCTTTTGAGGGAAACAGTGGGGCGGGTTGGGTGGAGATGCTTCAGCAGGGAGTCAGAAGACCTTGGGTGAATGTACGCCATCTCTGCTACTCATCAAAACAACCTCACTTCCACATAAAACTGGAGAGAACAATGTTGAAATTGCTTTAGGACTTGAGTTAACTGAAACAAGCGACAGCCTCTCACAGAAATCTGAAAAAAGCCAGGATGCATTTCCCACCCGTAAGGCTAGCCAAAATGGGTTCAAACATCTCACCCCTATGCTGGAAATGTAAAACAGGAATAGGTTCATACTTCCATATGTGGTGGGAATGCCCAAAGACTCGTGAGTATTGGAACAGGACACGAAACTGGTTGAGGGATATATTAACACTGGACTTAGAGTTAAAACCTGAACTCTCTTCGTTGGGAATAACGACAGAAAAATACGACAAGGGAACAATCTACCTGCTGCTACACATCCTGACTGCAGCTAGGCTTGCTTTTGCGCAAAAATGGAAGAGCAAGGAAATTCCCATAGAGGAAGAGTTAATACATAAAATATATTATATATATATAAAATAGCCGAGGTGGCGCAGCAGTTAGAGTGCAGTACTGCAGGCCACTTTAGCTGACTGTGTTCAGCAGGTCAGCGGTTCAAATCTCACTGGCTCAAGGTTGACTCAGCCTTCCATCCTTCCCGGGGTAGGTAAAATGAGGACCCAGATTGTTGGGGGCAATGTAAATATATATATATATACATTGCTTACTGGTGTACACCGCTTAGAGAGTGCTTGCGCTTAAAGCGGTATATAAGTCTCATAAATAAATAAATAAATTAGCATGGGCGGAAATGGACAGGCTCACAATGATATTAAAAGACAAAAGTGGATCAGTTTATTATGAAACCTGGGATAAATTTTACCGCTGGAGGAATTTGAAGAGGAAGTAGGGATTAAAGACGAATGTTAAGATAGAAATATATGTTATTTTAGAACAAGTATTGTATATAAAACTTAGATGTATATGTAGAGATGAAGAATTGATTATAAAAAGTGGAATAATCTGATAAGAATGTATATACTGGAATGTCACGTCAAATCCAATGTTTGTTTGTTTTTAATTGTATTATAAATAAAATTTGGAAAAAAAAAGCCAGGATGATTTAATGAATAGCAGGATTTTGTGATGTCCAAAAGATTCCTTCCAAATCAGGTACTATCTTAAACTGAACTTCAATTCAGGGTATACCTAAATTCAAATTTGGGCATAGAGTGATATTTTCTAGGGCAGGATTGGCAAATATGGCACTTTACTATCTGTGGACTTCAACTCCCACAATTCCTGAGCCAGCTATGCTCAGGAATGTTCAATTTTCAAATCAAAGCAAAACTGGGGTCAGTGCCAAGTATTCTATTCTATTCTATTCTATTCTATTCTATTCTATTCTATTCTATTCTATTCTATTCTATTCCATTCCATCCTATCCTATCCTATCCTATCCTATTCTTCCCATCCCATCCTATTTTTCCAGTAAATAGTTTTTGCTGATTTCTAAGTTCCTTCAATAATCATAGTTGCCTCAACAGACACCCCAACATTCATAGTCTAGATAGCTATGTACGGTATCATTTCTACTTTTTGCATGCAACGCCTCCAACCTATTTTCCTATTCCAATTTCCTAAATAAAAATGTTTGCCTAGACATGCTATCTTGAATGGCATTTTGCCAGATCAGCATTTCAATTTGCAGGCTTCTCCAGCCAAGAATGAAAGATGTCCACAGATCTTCTCTGGTGCTGCCTGCACTACACTCGTGGCAGATTTATTTGACCTCGCTGGCATAATTTATTTCCATCCATAGGATCATTTATTTTACCTCTCTACCATAACTTATTTCCAGACCCAGTATAATTTATTTTACAGCCCTAATATAATTTGCATTGATTGGCAGGAGCTCGCCAGGGTTTCAGATAAAAAAAAAAAAAAGACCTTCCCAACTCAACCTAGAAATGCTGAGCTAACATTCACAATTTCCTGCACGCAAACTGTGCTCTAAATATGAATGATGGCTATTCCCTAATTTAGTCAGAGTTTACAATCTCAGTTCTGCACTGGGATAAAGACAAACAACTGTACTTGACCGCTTCGAGTTTTCCCATAACATTCTAAGGAGAAGTCTTTTCCAAACTCGAAAAATTTTGTTACATTGGATTAAGGAAGTTCTGAGTCTCTTCTTATGGTAAAACTGAACAGATCAAAAAGAAATTGTCCGGCCAATTCTTGATGAGAAAATTGCTGCAAATTATTATTGTTATTAATCGCATAAATCAGCCAGATGTTCAGGCTGGATTACCAATTTTGGATTCCTTGACTAAGCATAAGCAAAGCAAGTGAATGGACCTGCTTAGCTCCTGTAGCATGTTGGACATGAGTTTTGTGTACTTATTTCTGTTTATCTGGATGCAGGAATAGGAAATCTATCAATATTCCTTACTGAGAAACATCCATATTTTACCTGGGTCTCACTGGTCTGCCATGACTGCTTTTTAGTTTGGGGTTTCTATTGATCCCAACTAATCAATTCCATCATTTACACTTCATTCTCACCACGGCTTTTCAACTCCCTGGAGACGGTGATTATTATGCATGTTACTATCCAACTGCATTAATGCCTGTTACCAAGTAAAGAAGAACAAACCCGTGCAGGAATTGAGAAAGAGGCAAGCAGATTGGAAAAGGAGGAAGAGAAGGGGGGGGGGAGAGAAAGTCATCAAGAAGCTTGCACAGACCCCACCCACGGTCAGGAGCCAAAGTACTAACTGTCATGCATCTCTATAAAAGTATCATCTTTCCGTAAATCTCAGTTCACGCTCACTTTTTCCCCCTTGTTCTCCTGTACAGATTTGTAAAAGGCAGCAATTAATTAGATCAGAAATTGCAACTTCCTTCAGACCAATGTGTTGGAAGAGAGATAATTGATGTAATGTCATTATATCCTTCAATTGCAAGCATGAAAATGCATCTGACATCCAGGAAGGAAGGAAGGAAGGAAGGAAGGAAGGAAGGAAGGAAGGAAGGAAGGAAGGAAGGAAGGAAGGAAGAGGGAGGGAGGGAGGGAGGGAGGGAGGGAGGGAGGGAGAAAAGAAAGAAGGGAGCAAGGGAGCAAGAAAGGAAGAAAGGAAGAAGAAGGGGGGATTATTTGCTGCCCCAAGGTTCCTCTTGAGAGAAATATTTGCACATTTGGGCAGTACCTCTTTTAAAATTTGAATGCATTTCAGTTAATTAACATCAAAAGTTGTACACAAAGCTCTTAAGCAAAAAAAGACACGTTTCTTGTCTTTTTATATCCTCTATCTCCATCCTGCCTCAAAAAGATGCTAACTCACAGTTTCCTTCTCTTTCACCTCCCGGTACCTAGGTATGCCTCTTTGAAGACCCCTCCTACCAGCTGCTCTCCTACAAAGCATTAAAAACTAAAAAAAAAAAGTAGTGATGTAAGTGATTGGATTCATAGGTGGACCCTGTTCTTCGTGTAACAATTACAACCCAACCATTCATGTCTGCTGAGCTCCTCACCCCCCCACCCACCTACCCCAGAACTGGCAGACCCAGGCCCCTGCTCTCTTCTGGACTGGAGCTGGAGATATCAGACGATGGTGAGATGTTTCTTGACCACCAATGGTCAAGCGCTCAACCTTGAGCCCCTCCGACTCATCTTCCCAGCTGCTTCCTGGGCTGCCGTATCTTTGAAAGCTCCTTGCGTCTCCATCCAACACACACACACACACACACACACAATCACATACACACAAGGCCCCTCTGCCAGCCACCTCCCCTGTGATCCACTCAGCCCAGATTGCCGCTTCTCCGGGCAATCAACTGATGAAAATTTAATGACGGTTTCTTTCAAGCCATTTGATTGTGTGGCCTCTCGGCTGCCGCCCCCCCACCAGTGGCTGAAAAGGCTTTTTTAATGGAAGCTCAGGTTGCCCCCCCCCCATGATGTGTTAATGAGGTTCTCGCTTGAAGAAGGGGGGGGGAGTAACAGCTCTTGTATCTTCCTAGCCCTCCCCCTTCTCCTTGCTCTCACTTCTATCCTTTCTTTCTCTCTCCCACCCCTTCTTTTAAACCTCTCCTTCCTCCTCTTTAAGTGCAGCGGCTGGCATTTCGAACTCATAATTGGCTCCGTGTTGACTTCAGCCAGCAATTCGCCCTCTAGGTAAATGCAGACCACCTGATCACGACCTCCCCCCTCTTTCATCTTGGACCCTCCCCTCCCGCCCTCCATCCCCAAAGAGCCTTCTGCACCGCCAAGTGCATTAATAATGGATGGTCCCTTGACCCACTACTCTTTGCAGGCAGATATCCATAGCCCTGCAAGCAAACCTTCAAATCAATGGCAAGGGAGAGCTGGCGAAGCAAACAGCAGGCCCAAGTCTTCCTGAAGCGAGAACAAAAGTTGGAGAAAGCAGCAGGTGATGATCAATAAGGCTGGCTCAGAAATTCTACTCTTTCTCTCTCTCTCTCTCTCTCTCTCTCTCTCTCTCTCTCTCTCTCTCTCTCTCTCTCTCTCTCTCTCTCAAAGGAATGGCTTCATTACACCCACTCCAAAGACTTATTCTTGACTTATTCGCGGGGCTTTTTTTTCTCATGGAATGCCCAGAACGGAGTTCCGGCACCTTTTTTGGATGGAACCTTGTAGGGTAAGCAAAAAAAAAAAAAGGTGCTGGAACTCACACACGTCATACAACCCCGCCTTGCCTACCCTACAAGGTTCCATCCAAAATGGAACCTTGTAGGGTAGGCAAGGTGGGTTGTAGGACGTGTGTGAGTTCCGGCACCTTTTTTTTTTTTAAAGAAAAAAAGCACTGCTTATTCTTATCCGATTTCCAGTATATCAAGTACAGGAAGTCCTTGACTTAC